TCAGTGGGTTAGTGACGCAGGGACATCAGTGGGTTAGTGACGCAGGGACAGTGATCTGTGTTTGAGTGGACGTTGACCTGTGTGGATCAGAAACCAGATGGAACCAGATAGTTGACAGGAGTTAACCAGATAGTTGACATGAGTTAACCAGATAGTTGACAGGAGTTAACCAGACAGTTGAGATGAGTTAACCAGATAGTTGACAGGAGTTAACCCGATAGTTGACTTGTATTCACTCAGTGAATACTGCACTCTGTAAATCTGCATGTACTGCATGTACTACATGTACTGCATGTACCCAGACCACGTGACATCAAGTACTTTATGTGAAGAAACTGATTTCATGATTCCAACTATTTTTAATCACTCCACCACCTCCTCGCTCGTCCTCTGGCTCACCTCCTCCCTCTCTAACACACACACACACACACACACACACACACACACTAATCCAGACCCAGGTGCTGAAACTGCTGTGATACATTTCCTTAGAACTGCACCAGAAAGCAGAAATACATAAATGCAACTTGGGGGTAAAAATAAATAAATAAAAGGTTCCGAGGACACGATCTTCCTTCAGCCCAGAACAAACACCAGCAGCAGCTGTGACTACAGCCCATATACGACTGTTGATGTGGTTCTTTACTGTGACGACGATGGTGGTGGTGATGATGTCACTGCAGACCTACAGTATGTTCTGCAGTGGGAACAGTGAGTTCTGTGACTGTTGTCTTCAACTCCACTACAGTCGTACTGACTGAACTATGACAGTGACGACTCCTGTCTTTTCCATATTTAATCACTGGATGTAAAGTTAATGATCCAACCTACATCTGCACTGCAGTACACGAGGGACTGAGAAGACAGTCTACAGACCATCAGGACTGAGACGTTGTCACTTCAACTGAAATATATCCAGTTACACCGTCACGTTAAGGTGAAACAGAAGAAGAGCAGCAGCAGTAACTGGACAGACACTGAGTCACACAGAGTGAAACAATGATTAAAGACATCAGAGACATCAGAGACATCAGAGTAACTTTGTTTACGTCTGGTCCACGTCCCCTCACTTCCTGTCCTCCGTCCACCGGCTAAGTTCTAGTGACAGGGTTCCAGTTCCTGACACAGCAGGAAACTGACACTTGACAAAGTGTTGTTGGCACCGAGAGGGGAGTAGGGGGTGGAGGGGGGGGGTGTCCACACAGGTTTGGTTTCTGTTTGTAGGTTTGTTGTCTGGTAAAACCTGGTAAAAGCCTGGGGTAATAAGCACAACCTGCCCCT